TTGACAAATCAGGTCTCCTCAAAAGCCCAATATAACGCATTTGGAGGGCACGCCGGTACAAGGAGCCAAGCCTTAATAAGACCCGTAAAGGTCTCGTTTTTGACAATAAACATGGGCTTTTGAGAGGATTATTTAATCAACCAAAACCTGCAACAGAGTCCTTAATTTCTACCACTAACAAGTGGAGAGATGTTCCATTCCCAAAACCACACCTGGCATAAGAAGGATGCAAGCTTGGACAAGATCTTCTTCTTCCGATTCCTCTTCTTCTTCCGATTCCGAATCCGAATCCGAACAGATTTGGACAGGAGATGCAGCGCGCTTAGCGTCGGAAAGATCCCTCTACATGGGTGTGCTATAAAACTAGGAGAAGAACATAACTAAACGGATCAATTCCTTTGACCGGTCGTTTCGAGCTTCCAGTTATTCTGGATTGCTAACGTGGTTCGATGACGCCGACGAAGGGAACCAGCGGAAAGGCTCTCAAAGGCAGGCGCGTAGCATAGGCAGACTCATAGGATAAGGCTGTGCGTGTGAATCCCAACTATTCTGCTCCTTTGAATTCATTATATAAATATAAATGGCTACTCGACCTATTTGGAAAGAGCTACTCTAAAGCCTATTCTATTGGTAACTTTTCAGTCGAAAGGCTTTCAGTTTCAGAGATAACTTTTCTCAGGCCAAGACCGTAGGAATCAAAAAAACCACTTATCATTCGTTCCCGGATTCGGAAGGGAAAGGAAAGATGAATTAAGCGGTCATCGAGATCTTTACAGAAAATAAAAGCATTACAGTAAATTCAAAGCCATGAACAACAAAAAGGGGATTGACTGAGAAGTAGAGCTTAGCGATCAGGATCAAGTTAAAGCAAGGAATCCTAGACATCCCTCAGGCTCGTTTAAATAAATTATGGGAGTAGTAAGATTTTAGAGTATGACATTCTCGATGAAAGCAAGGAGTTGACCCAGGAGGCAAAGAGGGAATTTTATAATTCTCTAATCCGGTACAAAGGAGAAGGAAGAGGTGGATTCTTTGGCGAAGAGAAAGGCTTTTCCTGATCAGATCTTTCCTGGTATTCGTAGATCGGAGCCGGGTATGAACTCATAAATCATTTAAGCGGAAGAAGAGGTTAGGATTAACTAGCGCAGGAGAGAGAGTCTTTCATTGGCTAAGAAGCTCTTTTCGGCAACAGAATCGTACTCCTATTCATATTATTTCTCTTTATTTCCTTTTTGGCGTAGTAAAGTACCCAAGGGAATAGCCCGTCGGCCTTCTTCTCCTACTTGTCCTTAAGCGCTGGTTCTATTCACGATGGTTCAGGTTCGAGCAGCTAAACTAACGGAGGAAGGTTTGGAGGGAAAGAGAATAATAGATCGACTTAGAGCGGTAAGCTTATTCTCTGGTTTCAATATCAAGAGTGTTACGCAAACAAGGGATATACACTAGGGTACGAGACCGACTAAACGGATTGGAAATGCAGCTCAGTCAAGAGATTCGGGTTAGGCGGAAATGGCATATCCAGGGCACGGCGCAGAGGATGTTCCGGTATTGTCAAAATAAGATAGGAACGAGGTGTTGTTGTTGTGGAGTGAAAGAAAGCATTGGAGTAAGTTAGTTACAATTGACATTGAAGAAGAACTTGAAGACTAGGCGCCAAAGACAGGGGCTCTTTCTCTAGTAGTGGACTAATCTTGATATTCCTAAAGCAGTAAGCGAAAGAAGAGGTTAGAACCAGCTCCACCGGCTAAAGGGACATGGACTCTTCAGAAGGCTCAGGTTTAATAACAGAATCTGAATCAGTAGCTTTAGGTATAGGGATTCCGGTTCTAACTAAACAATAAGGTAATGGGGTAGAAGAACTTCCGGAAGCGGTAACACGTTTGAACCTACTTCTTTTTTTTTACGATCGATTTCTCTTTATTTCCTTTTTGGCTAGTCTACCTACTTGCCCGACTCACCGGTACTATTGGAGCCTTCCTGACTGCAGTAGCTGTAGTAGTTGCAGTAGGAATAGTCGCCAAATAGACTGAATTAGTCTGAGTGCCGTAGTAGGATTCCCTTCGTCACCTTCCCTTTGCCCCTTCACTGCTGACAGCAAGCATTCCTGGGGCAAGTAATCTGTCAAAGAATAGACAAGAGAAGTTGCATCCTCCTGGCTCAGAAGGAAGGTGCAGATTCCATAAATTATCAGCTGTGGGAATAACCTCAGTCTTTTTTAAGTTTAAGAAGAATGGGTTCTTTAAGAAGAGGTTGTGCTAGAATCAGCAGCTATAGAATCTGCCTTACCTTCTTGACTGGTGTTACCGGTATGGGAGTACGAGTAGTTGGTGGTGAAGGCAATGAACATTGTCGTGGGGGCTATTACTTTACTTCACCCGGTGCCAGTTCTTTTTGGTGAATGCGTAGACCCCAAATCTCCTTTAAGGTGGTGAAATAGAAGCTCTTTAAATAGCCTTTGGCTTACGTAAGATCTATCTCTTCTCTAACAGCTATTCTTTGAAAGAGCTTTCGCACTTCAAATCAGATAGCGAAAGTCAAAGCTAGTTCCTCTTCAAATATACTACCGCTACCTTAATCCTATCAAATCTTTATATTTATCCTTTGAATTACTCATATATCTCCTATGTATGAATTTTATTTCGCACCGGAAACTATTCTAGGAGAAGTTCGAATCCGTTCCGTTCGGATATTGATCGGTCTTGGTTTGACATGGTTTACGCGTTACTGGTTCCCGGAAGAGTTAATATCTCCATTAGCTAAACCCTTTCTTACCCTGTCTTTGGACTCGTATTTTGTTTGTACACAATCAACGGAGGCCTCCCCGACATATGTTGCAACGTCTTCAATAGCATGTTCTTACTTCGTCTTTCCCTTAATAAGTCATCAAATTTGGTGCTTTTTGATCCCCAGTTGCTATGGGGAACAAAGGAATAAATACAATCGATTCCTCTATTTAAGTGGTTCTCGCTTCTCCTTTTTCCTGTTCCTAACTCTTCCCCGGGTAGTTCCCAATGTTTGGTACTTTCTATACTTCGTGGGTGCAACATCAACAAATTCGCTCATGATCAAGTTACAACCTAAGATCTATGACCATATTATGCTAACTGTTCGTATTTCGTTCATTCCATCGGTATGCTCTCAGGTACCTGTAATTTTTATCTGTTTGCCAGAACCAAGGGGTCTTTCTGTGGAAACCTTCACGAACAATCGTCGTTTTTTGATGGTTTTTCCGCTTCTCACCGCTGCTCTTTCCACACCTCCGGATATCTGGTGCCAAATCGTCGCCCCTTTCCTTATTTCTTCGATAATAGAGTTGACTATCTTTGTGGCATCGATTGTACAAGTTCGTGAAGAGGCTGGACGAGTGGAATGAGGGAAAGCGGCTCGATTGACAAAAAAGAAGAGTAGCCCCCTAGAACCTGGCAAAGTAACTATCAATGAATTCCCGAGCAATTATCAACCAACATATGCGATTCATTCCCGTATTATAACACAAAGAAGACTTATAAATCAAGCAGTTAGGAAGTCCTAGACTTGAAGCCAGGCTGCTTTATTATTCTATTGAGTTGCCTACCCTCAGGTCATTCGCTGCCTTAAGCCCTACAGTTTCTTCGCTAGCCGTTGTTGGGACTTAGTTAAGAGTTAGCCTAGAAAGGCTTTGAAAGCAAGTCAAGCATTCCAATCCCAGCGGATTAATCAATAGCAGTAGAGTCGTAAACAAGAACAGCAGAGTTTACAGCTGAACAAGTAACTTCCTTAGAGCGTGAACAAAACAATAAGTTAGGTCGTTTGATTAGAAAATTCCTACTCTTTGTTTAGGAGAGTTATTGAACAATATAAATTAAGGCGAAGAAGAATCATCGAACTAATGGACTTACCGCTCATACAGCTCCCAGCCAACAAGCAGTTAGCCTTCTTTTCCAAGGAATTTAAATGTGGATGACTGGACATCAGCAATAACAGGAGCCGAGCTTTCACAAAAACATAAAAACCTACCATATCATTTAAGGGGTACTAAAATCAACGTGTCAATCATCCCTACCCCGGATCTTTGGACTTAATGTCAGATTCTTTTCTGGGCCCGGGTTAAATATATGTCTTCAGCCGTATTTAACTTCTTGTTGCTGCTTGGGCACTTGGTTGAACCGGTACCTCAACAGCACTTGTCTTTGCCTCTATCTGAGCAAGGTATGTAGGGTGCTCTATACCTTATTTGATTTTCTGCTTCTCTCTAGACTTGCTTCCTCCCTGGATCATTAAGTCCTTAAGTAAGGAAGTCAATAGTCGTCCCGGTAGTGGGAAAAGTCCGTCCGATTGCCTAGTAGCCCCAGTACTATAGATAGGGAAGGCCTATTCTTCGTATAGGCAAAGCCTCACTATCTTATATCTGAAACCCTGAAAATGATTCCATTTTTGATTTGATAAGCATGTGATTCGCATCTTGGTCTTCCAGCCTCGATGAAAGCCCACAGAAGGGCAAAAGCACGACAAGCCTACCCATCATCAAAGCAAGCCCAAGTCTATGCAAGAAGGCCAAGGTCCTGTCCTCCGGATCTATCCAAATTCAAAGAGTTGGGCTACATAAAAGATCCTATTCTGAAATGGAAGCCTAATCGGACGGTTGGAGGCAGTTTGTAAGTTTCAGTACTCACTGGTTCAAATAGTGACTTCGGGACAGAGATAGTGAATCCTTTCTATTCTCCTTGGTTAGGAAAGGACTCAGCATCCACAGCTCCGCCCGGCCTTTCCCAACCAAAACCAAAAAAGGGAGAGCTTGAAGAGGACATATGGCCGAGGATCGAAGAAGCAAGGGATGACCCTTTCCAGATGACCAATAGAGGTTGGACAGATTCCTGTTACCATAAGGAGGAGATAATAAGGAATTCGCTGCTCTATACTTTGCTATAGTTGAATGAACTCCTAGGCCTTAAAAGAGAGCATTTTATCGCATGTTTAGCGCCGAGAGCTTTAAAATTTATCTATCGAAAAGAGGGCATATAGCCCGAGTCCTGAATACTTTAAAGACCGATTACGACTGTTGCAAGAGTGGACACCCTTTCCGACAAAGGACGGGAATCGTACTGATAGAAAAGGACATATAGCGAATTACATAACCTCTAACTCCTCTGTCTACCTGTACCCGAGTGCTTAACGGGAGGAGAGATCTTTCATAAAGAAAGAGCACATCGAACGTGATATCGCATATCTATCTAAGATACCAAGCACGGGATGAGCCCAAAGCAAAGCAAGCAACAAGGGATGCATATCAGGTATTAAGGGCGACTCTTCTAAAAAAAGAAGGGATTCGCGTGAAGAGATAAATTCCCAATTAACGAGACTGATTCCGTATGCCCGTCTAAGCGAGAGTATGGGTTTCCGGCTAGTCTTTGAAGTCTTGTAATGGATTCTTCTGGTTGGGTTGTAGCGCGGGTTTCCGTTGGGTGAACCCTTATCGATCTTCTTCTTGTTTGGTAAGCGGCTTCTTGCCTGGCGCATTACCCTCCTTTAAGTTTATTTTACTACTCTTTTCTTTCCCGCATTCTTTCATTTCTTTCGTATAGGGAGTTGATTAAGTTTACTGTCTTCCCTACTCTATAATTTCCTTCAGCGGTCTAAGCTTCTCTGCCCGCTTTGCATTACGTATATAAGTCGATTCGGTAATCATTCCGTTAGCTCTTCATCCCGTAAGGATTCGAAGTAGTGTCTCAGTGTAACCGGCCCCGCTGGGCATAAATCCTATCGCTAGTCCCGCAGGTAACCCCCTAGTAGTAGGCTAACTTATCCCTCCGCATATTCGTTGAAGCGAGGGCTTTTTTCTCTTTGCCCCTCATCAAGGTAGCTAGCTTCCTCTTATCGCTTCCTTGATGAAGCAGCAGCCTTTGCCACATTCCCCTAGTCAAACCTACTAGCTCTCTCCTCGTGCAAGCCTTCTATTAGCAGTTCAACCTGTACCTGACTTGCGAATCGGTAATTGCCTAATTTGCTATTCCTTCTTTTCTTCCATGAGGAAGCGGAGAGGTAGCGTGTAGGTTTGACTAATGCAACTAGTCGGCCTTCAGGTAATCCATTCTCGTGTAAGAACCCCTAGTGGCCCGGTTCGTGTCTGTCTTAGTCGTGGAAGGAGCATTGGCTTAGTCTTGATACTCTTTAACTCCCCTATTTATATTACACTTTAGCAAATAAGGAATCCGTTTTCGTTCTTCCCTCAGTTGATGTCTTCGAAGTCGTAGATCGAGTGAATGCGGTTGCAGGTCTAGCGCCATCCCCGAAGCCTTTCATTTAGGTTGACTTTGCTTTCTTCTTAGTCTTCCGTCTAGTAGTGGAAGGCGTGTCTGGGAATCAATCCTCGTATAAGTATAATAGGGAGGAAGGAAGCCGGCCTTTCTTCTTTCCTTCAGGTGGTGAAATGCCTATCATAATTGCTGTTGCAGGAGCGATGTCAAAGTGAATCTTGTAGTGAGGGTCTTTCGGGTATAGCACCATTACAGTTGCGTTTTTGTCTGCTGCTAAGGTTCAATGCTTTCTCTTTTAACAAGTAGTAAGCGCGGGAGCAGCTCTCTCTTCCTCTCTCCCTTACACCCTGAAACTAGGGCTTTAATTAAGTAAGAAGGGCCCCTCCTACTGGCTTCAATCAGCCCCATACTGATGAAAGGGCTATGCATCGAAATGAGGTATCACATTCTACACACCCATCTATCTATTCTGAACCTAGCTTAAGCTCGTCTATCAAAAGGGGTTCACTCGGCCAAAGCCCAATGTGACATTGTAAATACTTGAGGGAGTGAGATGCCCACCCACGCTAACCAACGATCCAATGCGCTTGAGTGGATGAACAGGATCCCTTGTTGGAAGATAAAAAGCAGAAAATCTTCCCAGAGTGCCCTATTACAGACGGGCGATCAAGGGAGGAACTAAACTAGCATTATTGAGTGCGACCAGTCAGCGAAGTCCTTTGTTTGAGAAAAGAATGAGAGCAAGTCGCTGAAGTCACCGCTTTAAGATCAAGGTCTAAATTTGAAATGTTGATGATCCTGAATTGACTGGATGCATTCCCGTGCGGTCTTAGACCCCTTGTATCGAGTGAACCCATTACAGGAGAGATGCATTCAATCCAGGCTTGGCCTATCTCAATCCAATCTCGGATTTACGTTAATTAAGGTAGCTAGGTAGTTCCTGAGTTAGGAGTTAGAGTTGTAGCGGATAACAGATCTTATATCTTATATATATAGTTCCTCTTTCCTTGCTTCTTAGTTTGTCTAGGAGCAGGAGTAAGAAGTCATAAGTAGTGGTGAATCCGTGTAGCTGTCAGCTGGTAGTTTTTTATTATCACCCGGTAGCTGCTTTTAGAGAAGAAGATCTCTTGCTAGGAGCCTCTTTTCCTTCGACCTTTTCGAGAATGATGTCTTATCTTCTGGCTTTGGTGGTCGTGGTATAGCCTTTATAGAATATCCTCTTCCCCAGGAAAGCTAACTCAATAGGAATTCTCTCTCTCGCCGATGCTATTGAATCCGCTGCTGTTGGTCTTACCGGTCTTGGTGGTAGGGCAGTAGGAGTAAAGGCAATAGGATCCATCCATATTAGGGCTTAAAGAGAATGTTCTGTCAGAGAAGAACTCATAGATGAATCGGCTGCAAGTCTTTTAGCCACAGAAACTCTTAACAGGGAAGGAAGTCAGTAGTCTCTTTCACAAACCTCCCGAAGAGTGTCCTTCATTCAAGAGATGAGATTGATCCAGTTTACGGCAGCATTTTAGCAGGAAAGTCATCAGTCCCTCCTTGCCTTGTACCGCCATTGATGGTTTTATTCTTCATGGAATCTGACAGGTATAGGTCTTGAACAGAGGGGGCTGTTCACAAAGCATCCCGTGGTGCGCTCCGAAAACAATGCGTCTATTGCATCTTTGATACCCTTCTTCCGATTCTTCTTCCTCTTCCGATTCCGAATCCGAATCTGAGCTGAGGGCAAAGGATGTTGACCCTTGCCTTCAAAAGCATGATAGAGCTCATACAATCAGTTTACCTCGTGAAAGTGCCTTCGCGCACCTACTTTCCTTCTCCTTGCTTTAGGGCTTAAGTGCCCAATCTACAGAGCATTGAAAGAAGAGCTATGTTGTTACCAATTCCTATCTAACCAGCAAGCCCAACAGCAAATAGAGTTAGGTACCTCTGTGATAGGTAGTAAGCGGAAGGGAAATGCCACTTCTTTTCTTCCGGGACAACAAAAAGACCTTTCTTTCCTCATTGCTGGATCGAGAGATTGAAGTCTTGCTGTGACCTGTGCTACCTATTCTAGTGCTCCGTTGGCTGTGGTGCTGCCTGAAGCTCTCAACTCCTATCTCGGAATCGGAAGGACAAGGCAAGACAGAAGAGCAGCTAAAGGCATCGGGCTCAGAGCCGAGTTGCAAGGCGAAAGTAAGTAGCTTTGGCCTTCCCCGGGCTTGTCTAGGAGCTTCCCAGCTCTTTCCAATCCAAATAGTGGGAGGGCCCTCACATCCCCTTACAACAAGCTAGGGGAAATTCTTCGATCAGTTCAGATCTTTGTCAAGTTAGCTTTACGCAAGCCAGGCCAGTGACACCATTTCAAAGCAGGAATCTTTTTTTATTATATAGAAGATAGGTTTTATTATATAGAAGATAGGGTTACCAGCGATCCAGTTTCGGGTCTGTTTGACTGATAGCATAGCCGGCAGGAAGTTGGACTGTCTTCTGCCAGCGAGTCTGAGCACGCAAGGTGCGAAAGCACTCAACTTAGCTAGGCATCCAACTGCTTTCTATGCATTTCAGATAGCTGCTTTGAGAGGGAATCTTTAGATTCGTGCTTCTGAGTCAAGGACTTCTTTACAGAGAGAGATCCCTTCTCAAAGGACAATAAGCTCTAGTTCAATTCAGTGTGCCCTGTCAGGGAGTGAGTTAAGGTAGGTAGTCGGTCTGTGAGCGGATTTTGCCGCCTCTTGACTTCTTGTCTTGGGTTGAGAGAGCCTTGGATTGCTTTCGGCAAGGAACTTTCTCTCTGAAAGATGGTCTTCCAGGCCAGGCACTTTCCTCATTCAAAAGCGAAAGAAACAACAGTCTCATTTCGTGCTTAGGAGGGCACCCTAGGGCAATCACTCTTGGTCCGATTCCGATTCCGAGGAAGGTGCTCTTTAAAGGAAGGGAATGAAAGGAAAGGTCCCATCTTGCTGCTTGTGAAAAACCAGGTCAAATCTCACCGGTCAAAGAAAGGAAGCCCCCACGTTATACGTTATATACGTGACCCTTTTGTGACCCGCTGACAGGCACAAGGGCCAAAGAATCGATTAGTAGTATGCCTGATATTGCAAAAAAAAGGTATTTAATCTAGTCTAAAGTCTTATTCATAAGTAGAAAGAGTACCTGTGCTAAATGAATAGAGGTAAATCAGCAAAGGATAAAGAAGCATTTTCCCGGTAGGCTAAGCCAGAAAGAGAGAAATAGAGTGTTAAAAGGCTACGCACCTTGGTCCAGAGCGAGGCAAGCAACGGTTGGTTGAACCCGTTCTCTTTAGTTCAATTTTCACTACGCCGAATCTCTGTCCTGAGTGGCAAACTATTAAAAGTATCATCCCTAGCTACTTTCTTTCGAGAATCCTAATAAGCTTTCATTAGAGCTGTAGCTAATCCGCTGTTCCTATTGACTGTTTAGGAGTCGCATATCGGTTGCTAAGACTTGAAACTGGAGAGCGCATATCCGATGTGAACAGAAGCGCAGATCCGCTCAAGTATTTGCTCTCGAACCTTTCTTAAAGGAAAAGTACCAAGAGGTTATCAGTAAGGTTATCCAAATGGTCCATGATGTTGCCCTAATGTTGTAAGGCAAAGGACAAGCGTTGGCTGATTTCTTGGAAGCTCACCCAGCCTCAGATGACAGTTCTTTGCTCTAACCAGCTGATCTACCTGATGAAGAAGTTTTATATGCTAAAGTTCTGTTCCCATGGGAGATATACTTCAATGGTGCATCCAGGAGCGCAGGAGCGGGGTTTGACTGGGATTGTTTTCATGACCCCAGAAAGGTCAATGATCCCTTACTCGTTCACACTGACTTCAGCAGCTTCAAACAGGGCTGCTGAATAGGAAGCCCTAATGGATTGGGTATAGCTTTGGAGATGCATATTTATCCTCTTACAGTGTATGGCGATTCCGATTCTCAACTGATCGTTAATCAACTGAAAGGGATCTACACTATTAATCAAGAGGTCTCTCAAGCCTTACTTCATCAAGGCACGCAAGCTCCTAAGCTAATAAGTAAGATCTTTTGTCAATACTTGATCACCAGTTAAATAGAAAGATGAAAGGGAAAGGAGGATCTATCTCTTTAAAGGAGGGGAATCGATTCAAGAGGTCGTAAAGCAAGAGCTGCTTCATCTAATAGTTCAGTCCTTAGGCCGACATTCAATAGAGAGACGGGAGTAAACCATTTCACATAGCCGGGCTCTTGCCCATTCTTTCTTTCGTGGGCATGTGCTAAAGGAAGCGTAGAAGTAGGAGTAGCAGGCACTGGTCTTGACCCTTACCCCCGTAAGGGGATCTAAGACCCTCAGGCTCGTTTAAATGAATTAGTGGTAGTAGTAGTATGCCTTTCCTGATTACTTTTTTTCTGCGCTATACCTTTACTGCTTGGAGGAAGAGAATCAGCTGTTACAGACCCGGTTGTGAAAGAAGGCAAGTCTACTGACTTGGCTCTTTGAAGGACAACTTCCCTTGTTAATGTACGAGCAGGGGACTAGAAGAAAGATGCCCACAATCAGATGCTAGAGGAACTGAACTGCCAATATGTATATCAAGATCAATAAGGCAAGATTATGTTCAGCTCTTGTCTCAGATTTCACCTCTCACGCACCACGGTCGTCTCTTGACCACGCAATGACCTTCCCAGAATGGGTGATAATATAATGCAGAAAGCAGAATCTGAAAGGGAAACCCATCCAGGGGATATGCAGATAGCCAGGGGTAACCAGATAGAGCGCCCAAGACTTGGCAGGGAACGGGACCGTGATTCTGAACAGGAATAGACAAGATGGACAAGAGTAAACCAAGGCCAAGAAGCCTCCGGGATAGACTCCTCCCTCTCTACGTGGGAGCAACATAGACAGTTCCTCGAAGCCGGGAAGATTATTTTGCAAGCGCCCTTTCAACTCCACAGAACATGTTATTCCCACTCCTCTTGAGCCGTATGCTGTCCTGTCCTCAGCTAAACTAAGCCAGGTGGTAGAACCTCTTACAAAGATACCTCCCACAAGACGGTTCAGGAAAGTGCTAACAGGGTTTTTTGAAGACGGGAATTCGATGCATCTCGCAATTCATCTGCACGTGTCCCTGGCTCTCTTCCTCCATCTGTGGGAAGACTTGAAGCGGTTGCCCTATTTTAGACAGTTTCATCGGCCTTCGGGATATAGAAAGCTTATTTCAATTTTTTTAATTAAAAGAAGCCTTAAGGCGACATCTCTTATACAACCTAAGACTAGCATGCAACCCTCAAGGCGAAATGGTTAGCAAGACAGTCAAGCAGTCTAAGCCGGCCTGAAGCCACTCCTTCTATGAAAGGGCTCGCGCACGTGTGCATATAAAAGAGAGCTAATGAGAGGAAGGGACGCTAAGGTGCCGCGGCAAAGTAAGCTTAGCCTTTCTCCGGTCAGCTGATATAGACTCCCCCCATTGGCACTTCTTTGTAAGTTAGCACATCAATGAATACGAAGTCTGTTGTCAAGAGTGAGCACTAAATATTAATTTCCTTTATCTAATTTCCCAGCTCAAGCTTCTTGAGTTGGACTCCCTACAAGCACTTCAATAGACGTCATCTCTAGCCCTAGTTGTAAATGATAATTCTATGTATGACCAAGCTATGCCCGATCTGTTATTTATTGTAAGACGAAAGAAAATATTTAATATGTAAGTGGTTAGCTTTCCTGGGGAAGACTATTGATTAATCGAGACGATCTTTACAGAACAGAGATGGGCGGGGCTAAATGAAAAGGTAGAACGGGTTCTTTCGGACAAAGTCTTCCGATAGGTTTCGCTATTCCCTTTATACCTTGAATTAACTTTTTATAGAAGCGGAAATGCCCTTAAAAGCGATGATTGATTGCTTTGGCTTTGCTCTCTAGGGAGGCGCTTCCAAGCCCCAAGTTCTTCTTTGGCAGGTGGCTTACCCCAACCCCAATGGGGGTACCAAACGAGTGATCTTGGTGCCTGCCATAGTGCCATTACGCGTTTATACTATAAAAAGTGGATTTGGTCTCGGCTAAGCCGATTTGGCGATCGGTGGATGAAGGATGAATGGTTCAGCCCGGGGCTCAAGCTAGTGAAAAGACCTACATCCAATCTGGAATAGAAATCCGTGGATGTAGGATCAGCTCCAAGATGGGCAGTTCCTGGTTCCCTTGGGATCATAAAGAAACTATTGCTTTAGTGGAACGCCATAAAAAGAAGGTAGCATTTTCTTGTCACGATGTAATTCCTCAATTATGATTGATCTGCAAGTGCATAAATGCCTCGGGTCTCATAAATAATGGATCGACAACAATAGTCGATTACACTTAGTAAAAGTGGTAATCTATTTCCTTACGGGTTGAGCCGATCTCCGAAGAAAGGTCAATCTGGCTTCGAGATTGCTGGTCCTTCTCAGTTTGCCCGCCTGTTTAGCCATCTGAGGAACTTTTAGGTGCCGGCCTTGGAACAATCTGTAGCCGTGGAATAGATAGCCCCTTTTCCACCAGGGGGTAAATAGTCCCCGGTTATGAAGTTTAGGACCTCAATAAGGCATCTAGCTGGGTGTTGAACCTTGTAATGAGCCTGCCATTCATCCAAGTCTAAGGCATCCTCACTCCAGCCAGGCGTTCGTCAACCCAGGACTGTAACTGATCTTCTTTCTATCCTCATGTGTGATCGGATATTGAGGTCGTTCATCTTCGAAACTCAAGCCTCGGAATATTGAAGTCATAGGTTCGCCCACTGGTGGATTGAGCTCAAGCTTCCATTCCTTCTTTAGGAGGGTGGAAATCGAAGTCTCGAATACAGATTCCAATCGTCCAGGCAAGCATGCATCTTAGGCGCCCCTTGTAAAAAACCGTACCGAATGAGTCACGAACCTTGGAAGCGCCTTTCTTTCTATGCCGTTGGGAGTCGAGTGTGGCTAAGTCGATGGTCCCCCTTCTTATTATATCGAAGCGCATTCCTAGCTTGGATACTGTCAATTAATTTTTTTATGGCTGAGCAGCTTTGTTCGGATTCGTGAGGGAGCCTTCGTCTGATCGGACGGTAACCTGAATCCAAGCCTTTACAGAAAAGATTCATATTTTGCCCAAAAAAAAAAAAGAAGATTGGAGGAGATCAATTAACAAAAGGGAAGCCATCCATCGATACCAGATTCTCGATCCGTCTACACCAGACGAGGCTATATAATTAATTATATAGCGGAGGTGGCTTAGCCAGTTCAACCAGCGATAACAGTTGCAGTTAGGAGAGGTAGGCCAGTTATTCTATCCGCTCCATCTATCTATCTATCTCTCCGGTTGTTGGGATTAATTTCAAGGCATGGCAGCTGCTGCTCGTTCGAGCTTCTCAGTCCTTGAGTTAGTTCCTTTCAAACTAGACTACAATACCATCGAGATGAAGTGATAGACCGACCGCCGCAGAGCTCTTTCGTTCGGGTCCGGATCTGCCTCCAATCCCTTATCCGGATTCTTCTCTGGCTCTACCTGCAGCCTTTATCCTTTCTATGGTTCCTCCCTTATCCTATTGTCTTGTCAGTCTTAGAGCAATAGGAACTGACACAGCTTGATTGCAATAAGGATCACTCCTAAATGAAAGCTAAACTAAACGACAATAACATAACTCCTAACGCAAAAGAGTAGCCGCTTCTATGTTCTATGCTCTTTTATTTCCTATAGAAGAGCTTGGGCCCACGCGCAAGCTCCTATCGCAAAGCTAGTAAGTAGCCTTTTTTTTTCTTTCTATAGCTTCAACCCCCTAGGTAAAGAAGAGGAACTAAGGGGTTTACGGGTACTATATTTCAGCTTATAGGGCTTCTTTTTAGCCCTATGCTAAACAAGCCTCTTCCCTATTGTTATACCGTTCGTGCTTTCCTCCGTAACTTCCTTAAGTCCCTTTATAGAAGACTAAAGGCTTCTAGAGAAAATTCCTCCTGCTAAGCCAGGGAAGTCTAGACTTGCAGCAAGTTGAGCCATAGCCTAGTTCTTCTTTAGTTTACCAACTACCAACCGTCCTTGCTAATGCTAATTTAATGCTTTCTAATGGGATTCCCTTAGTGCTTGCGCTTAAGGCTTTCTTTTAACCAATCTCCTTATTGCCAGTAGAAATTCCGACTCACTTTTGGCTAGCTGAACCAAAAAGGCTTGATTGCCCCCCCTTGGCCTGGGGGAACTTGAATATGAATCTCTTTCTCTTGAACGTCAACCTCACCACGGAAAAAAAAAGAAGAATTCCCACCTAACACGACTCTAGAACAGCGGAAACAGCGGATAAGCCTTTCCTAACCAACCCCTGAAACCATTTGTTCACATCCAGAGCTGAAACAATTGATTCAACCTCGGGTAAAAAGAAAGTAATCACATCGGGAAATCTATTTTTTAATAGAACCAGGTGAAAGGGGATTGAGAGCCTGCAAAAAAAAAAGCAGCAAGCAACAACGGCTTTTCAGCCGTTGCGCGCTAGCTTGTAATTTAGGGGCTAGGGGTGCCCCTTTCTAAAACTTTTATTTAATATAAGGAAGAAGAAGGCCCTTTTTTGTTTGGAGTTTTCCCCAACCTATACCTAAGGGCTTCCGTTTTTCAGCTGCATCGCACTGCTTCCGCTTCCGCCGCATAAACAATGGATCCGCTGGGCTGGATGAGCAACCTTCTCCGGAAAGGAATAAGGAAGAGTGAAAAGCCATGTCACTTGGAACGGAACTGGTTGCTTATTGACTTTTATTTAGTAAGACCTGTTTGCTTTGGTAAGCCAAATTCTATTATCTTATTATTAGGCATGGTTGCTTAAAAGACAAAAGCTAGCTTCTAGATGTTCTTTGCCTGAACATATGGAGGAAGCAACCTTCTGGCCTCTGTACCAGTAGTGGAGTGGCTTGCAACTTTCAATCAGAAAAGGAAAATGGAGCAAGGCAAGGGATAAAGAAGTTATCCCCTCTTCTCTGGTAACCCGCCGCCGGTCATATAGAGTGCTCCGCCCGCCACCGCATATGTAGAAAAAGAGGGAGCGGGGAAGGAAGAACAACCGTTTTACTTTGGCACATGAGGTGTTATTTGTTTGGCTGGGTAACATAATGGAAATGTATCGGACTGCAAATCCTGGAATGACGGTTCGACCCCGTCCTTGGCCTCGGGGAGTGGCGAGCAGCACGGAACTAAAATAAAAAAAATGGCATAACAAACAAAGGGGGGCTTTCCTTTTTTATAAATCCACAGACAACATTCTGGAACTTCCAAACCAAAGAAATGCAAGATGAGAAGTTTTACGTTACGCTTCAATAGAATTAATTCGGTAAGGGTAGAGCCCCATGGTCGATCGAAGGTCCTGTGCCACTTGAACTCAAATCTATCTTACCTTCTATCCATCTTTGTCCAGCCAGCTCATAAATGTTAGACCAACCAATCTCAGGGCTGACACAACCGAATTGGTTGAGGAAAAGGAAAGCCCAGCGACCAAGCACTCCCGCCTCCAAAAAAAAGCGGAGACCGAACAACCGCCAGGTTGTCGAAGACACGTCTGAAGAGGAGGCGGGCGCCCTCTAAGTTGACCACCCTACCCACTAATGGACTATGAGGGGGGGCAGGCGAACGGGAACCGACCGAGAACCCGAACCGCTTGACTGACCCCTTCATACATACTCGATTAATTAGGGTCGGGGATGGATGAAATAATAAAAGAAGTGAAAAAAATAGCGCAAGCGAAGCCGGGAAAGGGACCGCAGCGCAACGACTAGGACTCGTGTCGGAGGAGTTTTGAGCGTGAGCTACCACTCATGCAGCGGCAAGGACCCGCAACTCTCGAAGGGGCCACCAACCGCCCGAATCACTGTAGTGTAGCAAACCCTCCCTTTACTCAATGGATAGCGCTTATCCTCTTTCAATCAACAAAATGAGAAATGGAGGAGAAAGATAGAGGTCTTTATTGAAGAGGCTTTGCACCTAGGACTAATAAAGATCCAGAAGAATGGGTCTAGGCTTTCGAAAAGATTAAGATGCAAAGGGTAAAGAGAAAAGAAATGTCTTTTGAACAACCAACCTGACATAAGGATTCTAGCTCGCCCAGTTAGAGCAGATGGAGATTATCGGACGGGGAAAAGCGGCACTCGACCGACATCTATTCTATTAAACAAGACCAAGAACAAAGCCATACCATGCCCTCGGGAGAAAGTAGTGATGATTGCCATGAATGCTGCCCTAGCTATTGGACGTGTACAAGAAGGTCTTTGCCGATTCCTATCAACATGGTGCACCTCTCAGTAGTAGAGGGGCGTGAAAAGGCCGTGGAGACTTTGACCGAATGAATAGGTATCAATTGATAGACATTTTGATTGAGGAAGATAATCCAGGATGAAGGCTTTTTTCGTTCGCTATGTGCTGACTGGATGCTCGCGTGATCGATCGATGGACGGGGGAATTGCATGAATGACGAGACCGGCCTAACCTAAAGTCAAGTTCCCTCTCTTGATGGCGAATCTTGATTGACTGACAGACGGAACCGATTCGGAGAAACAAGAAGCATGAGATACGCGGCGGCAAAATTTCCGATAGCGAATTACTTGACTCGATGGATGGAGGGCCCTACAACTCAAGCACGAAATAAATGTTGAGTCAACAATCAATCATCGAGAGGGGCACCGCCAAGCGAGATCGAGACCAGCACCTTGTTGTATATATAGGTTGGGGAAAAGCCCCTTTATTTTTTTTATAGGGTTCCCTGCGCTTCTTCTAATATCCCATCAATCAATAAAGTAGGGGCTTCAAAGCTAGCTTGTAGTTTAGGGGTAGGGAACCCTATAAAATAGTCCCGCGTGCAATGGCTTTATCTGATGGGGGCTCGCTTCAAAAAGCGGAGCTTGCTTTCTACTAAACGAGCCTTCACTGCCCGCCCGGCCCCTATCTTTAATCTTAAGTAAAGTGAAGTCAAATCAATGAAGTGAACAGCCCAACCTCTTTGTTTGAAGCTTTGCTTCCCCTAATTCCAAAAAAGAATAAATAGACTTGCTACTATAGTTATAGTATAGGAAAAAGCTTCTCTTTGATAGCGGTCATAGGGGGGTTAAGAAAGAATCTTATCGTAGATAGAGACTAAAACCTGTGCGGGGGTAGGGGCGGATGTAGCCAAGTGGATCAAGGCAGTGGATTGTGAATCCACCACGCGCGGGTTCAATCCCCGTCGTTCGCCCATCAATAAATGGACCATTTGTTACGGAGACACAAGACAAACCTAGAAAGAATTTTTTCTTCAAGTAATCTCGAGGCTTTCAAAGGCATCCAAGCAATTGGTACCCGATTGAAAGATAGAAACCATAGATTCGCGTCGCCTACTTGCTGAAAGCACAAATGGAATGGCTGATCATTTATTGTATTAAGTTTTTAAGACCTCACTAATCAGCCTTACACTTTTTTTTTAGTTCATAATGAATGAAATTAACCCCCGGATTCGGATTCGGAAGAGGAAGAAGAATCGGAATCGGAAGAGGAAGAAGAGACATTATCCCCTCCCTCTTACTAAACCATGGGGAGCCCCGACTAGTTTACCGGGCAAATTTCGTTGTCGTGACGATACCTTTCTTAGTGGAAGATCGGAAATTCTCTTCATCACGATCCGATCCGCCGTAGACACCCGAGAGACCTCCACAAGGCAGGCTAAAAGATTAAGAGGAAAAAAAGCAAAGAGTTACGCTTTCTTTTCTCTTCCCTTGAACTTGAACCGTAGTATTCCCGCAAAAAACGAATTGAACCGGGTCTGGCTGAGCCCTTCTGTCCATCCATACAAAGAACCGATTCTTGTGCAACAAAAAGCGGTGTCGACTCTTTAACGACATCGTCCGCAAATCGAGATCTATTGGAGAGAGTCATCGAATCGTCCTTGATTCCTCGATTGAATTTAGCTAATCGTTTCTTTGGTAAAGGCTAGGAAAAGGTCAGCCCGTCATTAAATTCCTTGTCAGGAAGGGTTAGCCCCAAGCCAGCCTTCTCTTGGATATCCAAAAAGGCAAGATTAAAGCGGTTTTAACGATAGGTTGCTTTCCTTGGTCTTATAGTTAGTGACCTATAGCCGGCAGATAGGGGCGGAGTTTGCTTGCTCTTCACTCAGGGGCTGCTCCTAAAGATGCTCTTCTTCTTTCCTTGGGGCTCTTAGAAATGATAACCTAGTGAAAGTGCCTCATAAGGGCGATTATCGCTATATAACGAACGAAAAGACGAATGTTAGGAAGTTAAGGACGAGACTCAGAAGGACAAAGCTAGACTTCCCAAGGACGAGTTGAATTGCCTTATAGTATAGGGAGGGGGTAGGGAAGACCCCGAAAAAAAAAGATCTGTCGAAGCAGGACAGGATAGGGCAAACTATACTTTCAATCTGCGTAAAAGAAGTGAGAATGAGCTTGGCCCGTCCGTAAGCTCCCTCCGGAAAGGAAAAGAATCTTATCCGATCGGCCTGTCCGCTCATTCTCACATTTTACTAATTGGTTGAAATGTCCCTTCCCTTAATTAAGGCTTAGGACAGCGCATCTTTCAGGCCTTGAATAGCTTTAATCGGTAAAATGACATCCATATCCATGGACACCAAAGGCTTCCTAGCCGGAGAAAGTACATACTGTTCAGTCTACAGAGCCCTGATAAGTTCTATCGAAGCCGATCTTGCTAATCGCGAACCCCTCGTCTTTACTAAGAAGATAAAAAGGGCTTTCTTTTTCTCGTCGCTTCCGGCTTGATCACTGCTAAAGCCCTTCCCGAGCATTTCTGCGAGTTGATTCTACACCTATTTCTGGCTATTTTCTGCCAAAAATCGAGTTCACGAACATGTATCTTTATACTTTCTTTACGGATTAACCAATTTCTAAACGCTGAAGTAGATTCTAAAGAGATCCCACTTCCTCATGAATTTCTTTTTACTCGGAATCTTTTGTATCAAATCCCAGTTTTGCCAAGGGAGCTACCTCATTTTTCACCTTGAATTAATTGATGGAAAGCAGAATTTTTGACTTTGAGTGTAGGATTAGATCCAGTGAGGGTCTTTGGCTGACCGATATTGCACACCAGAATTTAGCTATTTCCATTTATTTCTTGATAGCCGGTCACATGTATAGGAGACCAACTGGGCATTGGTCATGGTCTAAAATATCTTATAGAAGCTCATAAAGGTCCATTTACGGGCCAGGGCCAGAAGATATGAGATCCATGGTATGCTCAATTCTCTCTTAACCCTAAATTATTAGGCTCTTTAACCATTCACCTTATATATTCCATTCCCCTTTATCCATATCTAACTAGCTACTTACTATGGTACACAACTTTCATTGTTCACACATCACATGTGGATTTCGAAGACTTGATGCTGCTGCGCATGCAGCCATTTTTATGTATGGTAAGAGACTATGATCCAACTACTCGATACAAGGATCTAAATCTAATAGATCGTGTTCTTAGGCAATGAACTATGGCTGTAATATCCTTCTCTTGCACTCTGTATCCTCGCTCTGTATCATTGAGTTTGCGGCTTTCGAAGGCGATGGGATGTCCCTCCTGCATAAGCACACCTCCTATGGAAAGGTCGGAAGCATCTTTCTTTGTGGACTTCGAGCACCTTTTCGAAGTCTGGCAAGACTAGAAAAGGCTCCTGTGTCACAGCTGCCTTCAACTCCTCGAAAGCATTCTGGCACCTCTTGGTCCACTCCCACGACTTGTTATTCTTTAATAGTTCCGCTGCTTTTGCAGAAAATCCCTTGATGAACCGCCGATAGTCATTCACCAAACCAAGGAATGACCGTCACTCAGATACCTTGGTAGGAGGCTCCCACTCTCTGATGGCCTGAACTTTATTCTCGTCCATCCTGATCGTACCATTCTTGATCACATGGCCAAGGTTAGCTAAGCCGCCTTCGCAAAGGAGCACTTCTCCTTCTTGATGTAGAGCACCTGAAGACTGTGTTCCAGGCGGGAGAACGTATTCTTCGCTATCTCAAAGTTTGGGTCATGGTCTCTTTCTTAAACCCTTTACTTATCCTTCACTCATTGCCTATGCAGATGCTGATTGGGCTGGATGTCCCGATAGTCAAAGGTTATGCTGTCTTCTTTGGTGGCAATCATATATCATGGAGTGCTAAGAAGCAGAGTTTCGAGGTCCAGTGCTGAATCTTAATACCGTTCCGTAGCCTTTGCAGTGGCGGAGACAATTTTGATTCGTCAATTACTTCGGGATCTTCATCTTTCCCTATTTTCCCCTGGAGCTCTTTATTGTGAGAATGTGAGTGCGACGTACCTTGCTGTTAACCCGGGTTTTCATGCTCGCACTAAGCATTTAGAAATGGATTTCCATTTTGTTCGTGAGAGGGTGTCGCGTGGTGAAGTTCGGGTATGCTATGTTTCCAGCATGTACCAATTGGCAGATGTCTTTACCAAGGCTTTATCTTCTGCTAAGTTTGCTCCTCTTCGGTCCAAGCTTCGTGTAGTTCCTCCCCTTCAGCTTGAGGGAGCTTTTAGACCATATATATCTTTCTTTGTCATACACCGATCTATAAAGATAGAAGCAAGCCTAGTTAGGCTTTATTTGCCTAATATTATTATATAACTATACCAGGGATGCCGATGGAATCTTTTTAAATCTCAAGTTGGTTCATCCAACCAGAATAGTTTGGGTCTCGTTACGCTGTCTTGGATGTTGAGCCTACGTGCGATGAAAGGGATGAAGATGATGCTACTATGCAGACTGAGATCTCGGAACTAACTATTAAGTAAGAGCCTCTCCAGCCGGCGTCCATGAGAATATCCAGTGTGTTGTGGAAGACCAGATGCGCTCTTAGCTGCCTTTCAAGATGGCAAATCTTTCTCAACTTTAATTGGTTTGGCGGGGCTCTTCATCTATCAATCGAAGGTGAGAGTTGGCTTCATTGCTTGGTTTTTGAAGACGGGAGAGATCTCAGATCAGGTTCAACCTAAAGTGAGTCATCATAGGGTTCCGCTCCTTGCTTTGAGGAAGGGACAGACAGTCGTGAATCGCCTCTTTATGTTATTTGCCTGAGCCCGGGCTTCAAAGTAAGAGCCTTCCCTGCTTCACCCATTCATTGCCATCAACCGGCTGTTCGAGCTCATCAATCAAGACGGCGGGGAACTTAGATGATTCATCTTAGTATGCCGGGTATGTCTTTGCCCAAGGTTCCGCTTGTTACCTCGTTAACTCGCTCGGGAAAGCGGTTTTTCTACTACTTGGAAGAGAAGCTGGGTAGCTCCGTAATCTGTCAAGGAGGTGGCTTTCGCCTATAAGGACAGTTGGAGTTTACGGTCCTAGTTCTGTTACAGTAAGAGCTGTTGCTGGAATAACTGGTGTTGATGGAATAGAAGCTCTTCCTGCTCTCGTATCCGATGAAGAATAGGCCCAAGGGACATCCATGGACAACCGCCACCCACGTGGTTTAGCTAATTCAATAGCCTTCGGAGAAAAGCGACAAGTACCACTGGACAAGCAAATCACTTTTGGAATCACCTTTCTTTAAGGATCCTATTCAGGTGAAATGCCGGAATGATGCGAGGATATCCCGAGCGAGTCAGCTAAACTAAACAGAGACGGAAATATCAGATCAGTACTATTCTGGCCAGCGTATGCTTGTTGAATTGAAGGCATAACGCACACTGCTTCAAATAGAAAGAGATTGGTTTCATCCCCAAGCCTCGCCAGAAGACGTTCCACAAAAGCATTATTTCATCTTGTTCCTTGAGCAATTGAGGAAGCGAAGCGGGCTGCTTGCCTCGAGCCCATAAGAGAAGTACTGCTCTGGACTAGGATGGTGCTGTTCTGCTTAAAACTAGGCTAGGAAATGGGCCTAACTCCATTCGCTGATGAACCCTTAACCTCGGGCGGTATGCTCGGTGACGCGTGCCGTCTACTCTGCTTGAGTGCATACACTAGGCAACAAAAGGGCCATCAAAGTGAGCAGTTTCCCCTGTTCACTATGGCTGAAGTCAGTTTGCAAGACAAAGTCTAGTTTTTACTTTGAGTTCCTATTTTACGAACATATAAGAAGCATTCCACAGTCGTAGGTTCTTCTCTTTCAATACTAGCTACCAGTGAACACTCTTCTTTTTAACTTTTCCGGCATAGTTGAAATCATGTAAGTTAGTTAGCCTTGGCCACTCTGTTGACGCAGTACCCTTCACTGCACGACAAAGGGAACTCTGTATTCTATGCTAATAGAAAGTCTGCGGTACAACTCTTGGGTTGGATATACAGATTGAAAACAAGGATTTAAGACAGCATGAAAGATTTCCTTCAGAAGACCGATCTTCAAACTGCCATGGGTGCGGTCACGGCCTCAAAGCCGGAGAAGAAGAATGAATCTAATAATTCGTCTGGTGAGAAGATGAAGTCTGGTTGTCAATTACCACCCGATACCCGACTTTCCTCAAGCGGGCTGATGAGGCCTGCTATGATTGATTCGGAAAAGGGATAGATAGGCACTCTCTCTAAGAAGGTACTCCTATGGCGATATACATGCCCTCTGGATAGGACCCAAGAATAAACCATTATCTATCTTCCTAGTACCTCTGTCTGAACACAGGCGACTCTCTTAGTTATAGTACTTGTTCAGTTAAGATGTACATATAAGGGTACGGTCATTACGCAGCAATATATCTTATCCACTGGGCGCGTATGGTAAGATGAGATAGATCCTCTGGGCCTAAGTCGCTCCTAAAAGAGTCTCTTCGATCTGGATTCAGAGGCTTCATCTAAGTAGAGTGAAAGATGGGCAGTCCCAGCGAGGGCAAGATGAAAGAGGTGGTGGCATCGTATAAAAGTGTAACCGCTTCAACAAATGAGCTTAGCTAGCTCAATCCCATTGCATCACCAGATGCCATGTAAAGAGATAGACTTTGCCTCTTCTCTGCGGATGAAGGAGAAATGACAGCTACGTCTACCATATATTGATGCTGGTCGGGATCGTGAAACTCTCGCTGTTTGGTCATAAGGATAATCGTTTTTATCTTCTTAGGTCAGGGGCGGGCCGGCCATAGGTTCGAATCCTGCCACCTTTCTTGTGGATCATCCTGTGGTTACCGGATGATGGGAATAAGAAAGCAGAAATTTTAAAATGAGCACAGCACGAAATGTCAATAATATATGCATTTTTTCATTTCTCGTTATTTCCGGGTCTTTTCGTTGCATTCACTTACAAGAAGAAACAACCACCAGCGTTTGGTGCAGCACCTGCATTTTGGTGCATTCTTCTTTCTTTCCTTGGTCTTTCGTTCCGTCATATTCCTAATAACTTATCCAATTACAACGTATTAACCGCTAATGCACCTTTCTTTTATCAAATCTCAGGGACATGGTCTAATCATGAGGGTAGTATTTTATCATGGTGTCGGATCCCACGTTTTTATGGATTCCTTCTTTTTTACCGGGGTCGACCCCAAAGCCATAATGTCTCAAAACGAGGAGGCCATAGAGAAGTTGTTTTTTATTACTTTGTCTCGAACTTCGTGAATAACTCCATTCTATCTCTCCCTCGTTACGAACAAAAAAGTGGGGCTGCGCCCCAGTTGTACACTCCCTTCGTTCTACGAACCCTTGTTGATTCTGAACTTCGTTCGCGAAGGAACCGGACGTTTGACGGGCCAGCCCTTTTTGATGCGCCGCTTTACCCTGAAAGGAAAATTAGCTTTGCTCCTCTGGGTGCTAGGCGCTCCCGTGGGGAAAGAGAAGGAAAAAGAAGGACTCATCCTTTGTTGCATCTGGCACGAGATGATAAAGAGAGAGCTTCGTCTATCGATGAACAGCGGATTGACGGAGCTCTTGGCATTGCTTTGTTTTTCTCTCCTTTCCTATCAGCGAGTTCCGATCCTTTTGTTCGAAATTTCTTCGTTCGTACCGAACCGCTTGCAGAATCAAATCCAGTTCCACAAGATCCTATATCAGCTATACATCCTCCTTGCATTTATGCCGGAGACGTCGCCAGTGCTATGGGCTTTGGATTATGTAGATCAAAAATGATGAATGGGATTGTGGCACTCCACTCGCCGCCAATGCGGATGCGGAAGGATGCCGCCGAAAAGAAGGGAACGCTGCTTCGCTCTGCTGGATGCGTCGGATCCCGTATAACAAGCGAGCTTTTTAGCAAAAAATTCAAACATGTGGTCGCAACATGCTATCCAGCTCTCTTGTTGCGTAGCAATAGAAGCCTGCTCATGCTGCTTTGCTTTTTCGCCTTCTCTTCGCTCTGGACAGGAGCGCTAGTCTTTTTTTCGGGGAGGGAGCAGGCGAAGCGTGTCGTTCGTAATGAACAGAAAGAGACCACTACTTCGCCTCTTTGTTGGAGCGCCGGCGCGAACACAGTGGTATCTGACCAGGACCAGGAAAAGATTCGAATTTTGATCTTGACATGTCGGTGGTTTTTAACCGTGGGCATCATGCCAGGAAGTTGGTGGGCTCATCATGAATTAGGTCGGGGTGGCTGGTGGTTTCGGGATCCCGTAGAAAATGCTTCTTTTATGCCTTGGGTATTAGCCACAGCTCGTATTCATTCCGTAATTCTACCCCTTCTTCATTCTTTTATCTCGTTTCTGAATATTGTTACTCTTCCATGCTGTGTCTCAGGAACCTTTTCAATACGGTCCGGATTGCTAGCTTCCGTTCATAGTTTTGCTACAGATGATACACGAGGAATCTTTTTATGGCGGTTCTTCCTTCTAATGACCGGCATATCTATGATTCTTTTCTCCCAGATGAAGCAGCAGGCATCGGTCCGTAGAACTTATCAAAAAGAGATGGTTGTGGCGCGAAGTACTCTTGTGCACCTCCGTCACTCGGCTCGCGCGCAACCCCGCCCCGTTATGTTATGGAATAATTGAACTTATTGCCGGGCTGGTTATTCAGAGCCAGCAATTGGCTGCCGTGCCGTATTTCGTCCCGCAACTAGAAGAAGATCGCTTCGGGGGTCACTGTGGCTGAATGTAGAGCAGTCCGCCCCTACTGCCTTTGATCAGTAAATTCTGGATAAGTTAGGAAGATGGTAAAGGTAGCTTGCTTCCAAGCCACTGCACTAGATGCGCATGTAGTCGTAGTAGTCGGCTCAGAATGCCTCTGTTCTATACTAAAAGACTACTTCGGATGAATGGGTCGTTCTCTTACTTGACCATGGCATCGCCAACATGAGTCTGTGTTCGGTGGTTGATAAGCTGCTAGTTGGTATTTAGTTTAGGGCTTTTTATTTCCTTTAACTTTTCCCAACGAGGTGGAGGGCCATCGCAGAAAGTCACCTATCCCCGTAGTTCCGAAGACAGGAATTGGGTAGTAGGGGGCGGCACCCTTGGACCCCCCAAAAAAAAGGCTTTGACCTGCTGGCTATTGGAAAGTCTCCGTTTACCGCGAAGTTAATAAAGTTGGGGGGCATGAAATTAACCCTGAGGTTACTCTGTCCCTGGCATCCCTTTCTGCAGCTCAGTTGATTGTTGAAGCAGTAGCTCTGGATCAAATCCAGAGCTGGATGCTTACCTTATTATAATTAGAATAATCAGGGGAAAGGCTTTTTTTATAGATTAAGAGGTGAGTAAGGGGGGAGAATGGAAGACCAAAGAGCCCCAACTCATATCGTACAAAGAACTTGCCATTGACCTGATCAAGCGCTTTTTGTTGGGGAGATCACCTTCACCCATGTTCCGAGAATCTACAATCGCTTGGCTGACTCGCTAGCCCTTATGGAATAAATACTCAGCCGCTCTAGTACACATGCTAGTACACCGAAGCACAGAGTCGCTTGTTTGTCATCGAGAGATTGGACATCCCAGCCACAGAGAGCCCTTCCGTCGAACGGGACTCATTCATCTTCTTGGATGAAGACTATCGAGAGTTGGAACATGATGAACTATCACCAGTCAAGACGAGGAAGATTACGAGGACGATGGGAACCATGGTAGGAGGTGTGATTTGTACAATTACCTCAAGGACGGGTTCATATCAGAGTACGCCACTCGTGGTCAGAGGAGAGCCTGGAGGATAACTTGCCCGACGGTTATCTTGGGAGATGTCCTTTACAAAAGGTCCTTCAAGGGGTACTCGCCCTTCCTTACTTAATAGGAAGAAGGAGCGCACATTGCATTGTTGAACAAGCTCATTCAAGTGGGTGCGGAGGACACGTCAACAGCCAAATGCTTGCCAAGAAAATCATGAGGCAAGGCCCCCCTATTAAAAGTAAGGGTGTCAAGAGATGTCAGAAATGTCCACTCCTTTGATGGAATTTTCTTTCAAAATGCTGCATCATGTAGAATGGCGGGTCCATCGTCTATCCCCAAGGTCTTTCTTTGAGACCCAGAATGAAAAAAGCGTACCTTCGAAGGCATGATTGCTGCGATCAGGAGCTGCTTAACATCATTGAGAACAGGAGATCAGAAGATTTGGTGGAGGATAAAGTAAAAAGTGAACCAACACTGGGATCTGATCATAGCCGCAGTGAAGTGTTGGGATGCAAAGGCGATGGTTTTTAGATTCGGCAAAGATGAGATGTGTCCCACACTTGAAGAAGTACATCGAATTTTTGAGATATCCCGTAATGTCCTTTTTGTACCTAGAGAAGGACGACCTCGAGAGAGCAGTTAAAGAACCAGTAGAGTAGGTGCTCCATATCGTTCCTGCTGCGTAGGTCTAAGGTAATTCACAGTGCTAGCAGATCAGAAGTACGGAAGTCGGCCCTCACCCTTCTCTAATAGGGGCAGTGCTACCTATAGAACGGGAATGTTCATCCTCTCTTAATTTCCTTTATGGATTTCGAGTCGGGAATAGAGCTGTGGCAAGCAATATAGATCGCCCCTTACGCTCTCTCTATAAAAAAAGCCCTTCTTAGTCAAGCTTCGGCCCTATGGAGAAAAGGGAAGTGCAGATCTGGAGTGTTTGGACGAGAAAGAAAGGCTTTGCAGCAAGCTGAGTTGTACCGAAATTTTCTTTTCCTGGCATACGAGAAAAGAGTCCAGCCGAGCATATTTGTTTGCGAGTTTCTTGATCCCGGAAATCTTGTACTCAGAGTCACGGATAAAGTAAACTACCCAGCGACGGGGAGTGAGTGGATGACCCCCCGTTCTTTCTAGTGGCTTTTTTCCCGTCCCTTTTGGGACCATTCACCCTTTTCCCTACCAAGCATAGGTAGAACCCCTCTTTCCCATACACAACGACGGTTCCAAGCAAGATGAGTAGTTTATAGTCGACTCAATATCAACGAAATCCCCCCATTTTATCTTTTTAGTACCGATGGTCTTGTAGTGCACCCTTCATCGAAAGAGTAGGCGGTTGAAAGACCCACCTCTGAATAAACCTTTAGGTTGGGAGATATCAAAGGGGAACCTCGCCTAGCTTATCTGTCCCTGTATTATTCAACTCATCTGTCCACTTATCTTGTTCAAAGCAGAAGGAAGATTTTAATCCTTTCTTTCGAGGGTAATCCGCCAGTCTCTAGACTGGAAAAGATTCAATCCACTTCTTGACCTGCTTCTTAGGTGCTGCTTAGGCCTGCTTCTATGTCCTGTAACTTCTACGACATTAGCTTCTCACGGGCATTTGCTTTAAAGGGGCTTGTTGGCCCCCTTCTTAGTTTGAGTTAGCTCTTGATGTCTGCTTTAAGCTTCGTCGGACATTTTATGGCCCGTAGCTTACAACATCTTATGAGAAGGGCCTGTAGCTCGATACAATTTAAGGCCAGTTGCTTACTTGCGTACGAGAAGAAAAGGGCAGACGTATTCAGCCATTCCCATCCCTCATCAGGGCCCAGCTTGACAAAGATTTTGATGTGGATGAGAGGGAGAGCATCTTTTTTAGATATCCCCACAATTAGAGCTATTAGATGAGAAGAGACTTCGCGCCATGGAACATGTCCAGGTCTACCAGAAATTTCCAGTGCATTCCCAAATCAGGTAATATAGATAAAGTCAGGTGTGAATGATTGGCTTGTCTAAGGCTGACCGTACCTAGTGCTTTGCTTAGTTAGTCGTTTACCTTTGCTTTGGAAAGCAAGAAAGATGATGTTGGAAAGCGGTTAGGAAGCAGCTCCTTATAAATACCAGGGGCACTTACTTTAATTCCCGAAGGCTAGGCAGCAAGTGCAGAAAGGACTTCAGGGGAGGTTTATGTGAGAAACTCTCTTATGAAAGATATTTTACGGATTCAATCACACCGGTTAATTTCACAGTTAAAAAATCTGTCTTTTGAACTCTCACAACTCATTCTAAAACAGCTGATATGCGACATCATTCCAAGCACTAGAGATTGAGAACTTCCCATTGCTAGACTGAGTCCAGATGCCCTCATCCTTCCTCAGACTCGGACTCGGACTCGGACTCGGACTCGGACTCGGACTCGGATGAGCTGGATTAGGAATAAAAGAATAGCATCACATAAGTAGGACGGAATGGTATCAAAACTACCACAATGAAGGAGATATAACAGAACTCCTACTTGATTAAGCCGTATGATAGGCTGTAACTATATCTTAAACTCAATCCCCTCACGTAAGCCTTGCCTGTGAACCAGAGCTAATGATTGTAGATCCTCTACTGTAGTAGAATTCACACCAACTTACTCTAGACAAAGATAACGATTTGGCGATTTGAATGCCATATATGACTTGACTCTATCAATTCCGGAACCCTCCCAAAAGAGATTCCACTTGAGCTATTCTCGTTCTAACGACAGAAGCTTATTATATTAAAGCATTCCCCTAGAGCTAGAGGAGGGAAAACTCCTTAATCATTTTACTGGGTATGGGAACTCCTCCCTTCTAGTAGAAATTCTTCCAAGAACGGATTTTTCTTAATTAAGTTTATTTTATCTGCTGCTGATTTCAATAGCCAAGTAAAGCTTTCCAGCAGGCGAGACAGATGCCGATTCTACCTCTGCCAACTCCCTCTTTCTAGTTATAGCAGGATTTTATCCATCAATGGCAGCTCGATTGCCACGTGAAAGCTCTAAGTCAAGACGTCAAGCCAGCAAGAAAGTAGTCCGAAAGTCAGGGAAGGAAGAGCTAGGGAGCAAGGGAAGCCGGGCAGGTCTTGAGTCTTTAGGTCTTTCGTTTTCTTTCTCGTGAGGATAGCGATGAGTCTTGAGTAGCCTGAACAGCTTTAGTATCGAGTTCAGTTCGTAGTTACTCCCGGGCAAGAACAAGTCCAGTCTGGTCGTTCATCTATGGAAGCAAGCCGGTAATCCTCGGGTTGAAGCCGCTTCGTGCCGCTTTGGATAGCAAAAGAAAGGCCTGACGTCTTTGTTTGCTCGGTGGGATCGGATATGTCGTATGGGTAGCTATGTCTTGTATCGTATCGGATAGGGAAGGAGACTGGATAGCAAGGATAGGCACTTATGGGTCTGATGGTAGCGGTAGGGAATGACGGTCAAGTGAATGGTAAGGAAGAAGGGCAAGGCACATATTTGCTAGCGTATATAAGGCGTATAAAGGTATCCCAAGTTGGAGGAATATCCGCTTATCTTATAGAAGAAATGCCACATCTGACCCAAGGAAAGCTACTTAACTCCTGCTCCAACCAAACCAACTACAGGGGAAGGGGATTGGGGGACGGAAGTGACATATGAGCAGGCATCGAATACAAGCTTCTTCTTTCGATCTCTTTATCCGTCCCTGGATCACGCACAGGCGCATGTAAACTAAAACAAAGGACCTAAAGTTTCACCGCAGTTTGTTGAACGCGCACCATCCCTTGCCCTAAAATAAAAAAGCGCTTTTTCTGCTATGAAATGAAAGCAGCAAGGTCAGTCTTTTCTTTCTTTTAGGAAGGCTCCCACGTACCATTGATTTAGCTGAATTAGCTGTTGCCGTCGGCGCTCTTCCTGAAGTGAAGAAGGAAGAGCTTCTTCTCAAAGCCCTTTTTCGTCCTTCTATGTCTTAGTCTTAGATGGGGGACGACCAGACCGACAGCCCTCCCGCTGAGACTAGCCTCGCTCTCGTTCGGCTCATCCCCGCCTGTCTTCTTCCTGGTATAGTCAAGGATCTTCTCACTGAACTATACCAGGAACCTCACTGACTTACATTCTCAGTCAATTACTCAGCCAGGGTCTCCGCCAGCTTTACCTTTCCTTCCCTCCTAGGTCCTCTTGTTCGGTGGCGCTACTCACTCCTAATAGAATACTTTTTTTTGGGGGGGAAGGTAATCCCGTATTAGTGAGTTAAGTTTTTTAGGATCACTTTTGAGTTTTTGCGCCCATTGCCGAAGAAAAGAAGGCCCGTATCAGTCTCCGTGGACAGTTCAAGTTCCCTTAGAATATAGTGGGCCGTTTGGGAGTTGATCTGTCTTTGTTGTGGAAACAGAATGGACAGGGGACCCATTCCTTTTTCTGATTCCACACGTACTTGCTCTTGAATCAATCCGTGAATTTCCCCTTTGAGGGCGGAAATCTCGTCCTGGTTAGGAGCGTAGTGGGCTCTTGAAAATACTCTTTCTTCCAAGCCTAATGAACTAGTCGTCCCCCACCGGGACTAGGTCAGACTAGCAGTTAGTTGAGTCAGCTACCCTTTCGGGACTAGCATTTCTGCTACGCAGCTTAGGAAAGATCTCTTTCTTGCTGCTTAGCTCACTTTCAGCAACCCGGGAATGGGAATGAGTGCCCCTTTCAGCGCGGAGGCACATCCGGAACAGGTTTAGAGATAAGCCAATCGGTCTGCAAACAAGAGTTGGACAGCTTGACCCGCATTGCCTGATGGCTCGAGTAAGAGAGGAGAGAAGTTCACTGTATGCTTCACACATTCTGTCTTCTCCCTTACGTGATAGGGCTCTAAAGCCAAGTGCTTTCTTTACCGGCACACAAACTATATATCACGACCCAACCTTGTGAACAAACTCTACTTCTTTTCTTTTATGAGGATTAGAGAATATCGGTTCTTGGCCCTCGGGTATTCCTAATTGCGGAGATGACCTATATGATGTGGAGGGGATATGATTTGAAGCTTTTCCAAGAGACAAGGAGACATACGGAATACCAGACAATGAGATGTACCGGGGCTACAAAAGGAAGAAGAGTCTCATAATCTATTTGCTGATTTAATTCCTTGCGTCTAATCGTCTGGTGCTATAACTAAGAGGATGGTTAGTCAAAGAATTGGTTAATACCTTCCCGAAGGTCACTAAGGACATTTGCCGACTTGCTACGAATCTACTTCAATTTAGTTTAGGCTTGAGATGAAGATCCTCTCGTGGTAATATCATAGCATAGACTTAAATAGTAAAATCTGCCTACTATACTGAAAGTTCAGTCTTAAGTTAAGTAGTGAGAGACTTTCTTTCATATTAAGTCTTATGCTTTGTTTTATCTTTCCTGATCTCACCCCCGCTTGCAACTTGACTACTAGGGTTGCTGACGGTTGGGCTAACTCGGCTTTAGGCGTTGTCGTCTAAGTCTAAATCTTCTTCTCCCCCGCTCTCGCAGCCATACACATGCCAATCTTCTGAGTTCGCAAGCAAGCTCAAACAAAATTAGGGATGGAAGTTAGGCGAAGGGTGTCTTTCCTCTCCCTGGAGGTTCGGTCGAGCGTATTACATGACCTCTCCTTGTTGGCTTAGTTAGCCTGGTCTCGCTAGTTCCCCCGATCAAGCATCTTCGGGAATAGTTAGTCTGCAAAGTCCTCTTACTCTTTTGATAGGTCTGTTGAGCTGGTAAACTCCTCTGGGCTCGTAAGGAACTCTTCTTATATTGTATTGGAATCGAATCCCTTTTTAGAGGAATCCCCTGCGACTGATCTTGAAGTTTCGGTTGATTCCCTGTTGGAAACCCCTGGCTCAACTCCTGCTACTGGTTCAACTCCTAACCTAGTTGGTCAATCAGTTGGAAACTCCATACTTTCTGTGTCAGCATCTGCGAACCTTGTATCAGCTTCTTCGGATTAGTCCTCAGGTTCAGGTGTGGAAACAACCCTAACTTATGTCACTTCTTCCTCCGCTACTGAACTAGATACCTCAAAAAAAGCCCCAACCCCAGCTCTTAGGCTTTCCTCTCCTGGAGCTTCACTCCGATCCTCTACTATTCTATTAGTAGAAAGAAGGTGACAATTCTTTACTGGAGAATCGGTTGTTCTCGTCTCGTCTCTTTCTCTGCTGCTGAGTATTGAGAGTTCCCCCCTAAAAAAACTAACCAAACCAAGGGCTAAGTAAGTGCCAAACCTTCCTATCTCTTCGGCCTTAGTCGATCGAGTAGTTCGCTCCTTCTCTTGATCTGATCTTTATCCTTATTATGTTTCGGTTGAGGTGGAAACTCTTCCCGACCTTCTGTCGAGTACCCAATTTCCTATTCCTTCAATCTGGGATATGCTACCTCAACAGAATCAGGTCGATCGAGTGCTGACTTTGCGTCTGCTGCTTAGTCTTAAGTTTAGTTAGCATCTGGTAACCTCGCCTAACTATGAGTTCCTTCTTTCCCTTCGAACTTAACTATCCGCTTATTGGGAATCCCTGATCTCTGCTAAAGGTGAAATCTCTTTAGTACCCAAGTACCTCTCCCTATTCGGTGCTTCAAAAGCTGGTTACCTCCTCTCTGTCTTAGCCGAGCTAGCTTTATTTTATTCCCTTCGATCCCAGCTCGTGATAAAGATGATGTTAGCTTCGGCGAAGATTGACTTACCTATTCAAACAAAAGGGATTGGCTTAGTTTTAAGTGTACCAGATACAAGACAAGGACAAGATCAAAATTATGTCCAAGCCCTTTTTTTTGGAGATCTTTCAGGTGGGCAGGGCACTCCACTCTAGTAGTTTCCTACATAGAGCAATAGCAGTTACACTTATTCAGTTAAGGAAAAAGCAACCAAAGTAGTCGTTACCGTCTATGCGATGATCCTGTACGATGTTCTAGATTGCATACATTGGAATGGAACTTATTGGAAAAGGTAAGACAGGAAAGTCGAAAGATAAGTTGTACCGGTATCAGTTTGAAAAAAAAAAGTCTTATCCTGTATTTAACAGTCTTCAAAGGGAAGGAGGCATTTAGGTTAATCTATCCTAGTATGAAGATCGAGCTTTTTACTCAATTGATAGTAAAGCGGCAAGGAACCCTCACTGAAACTAGAATGTAAATAAAATCCTTTCAGTGAAAAGTGAACAAATTATGTAAAGAAGCCAAGTTATGGGGGCTGAAATCTCTTTTACTTTTGAGTAAGTAGGAGTGCCAGCCAATCTTTAGCTCCAGTGTGATAGTGGATTGAGGCGAATACAAGTTTAACATCTGGGCGAGAAATGGCATGATAAGAAGGCTTATTGCTTCGAAGCGGTCTATTCTAAGTGGTCCATTGGGTAAGCAGCAGAGGTAATAGGTCGTCTCCATTTCCGTAGCGGCTACGGTTTCCCTGTCTTTTCTAAACTAACAGAATCTTGGGCTCTTCCTTGGGAATTTCGTCTTGGATTCGATGTGCACTCGGCTCGTTCAATTCTGAGGACACCGGGAATGGAGTCAATCTTCGTTAGCGGAAGCAACTACTTTGAAGAAAGAAGAAAGGCTTCCTTCTCTCTAGCTTTCGATGGGCGGGATGGGACTGTAAAATGAGGTTGTTGGTTGATCTTCTGGTCAATGGGAGTGCTGTCTTCTTGGTTGAATCAGAATCCTATAAGAATATGCATCCAGGAATCTCGATGTTCTATATCCTACTACTTCTTTCACCAGGAAATCCACGAGAGGAGATAGGTGCTTTCTTCTTTCCGCTTTAGCGAATCTCTGCTCGCCCTGAAAGCTATAGTATACTTTTTAGCATGAAAGGCCTTTCCTATCATTAGCGCAGTTCAAGGACAATATGGTCTTTCTATAGCTTTCACGTGGCAATCGACCTTGAGCAACGGATTCTGTACCAGCAATCCTTTTTCGTTTATTGGGGGACTGAAAAGGTTTTGTCAAGCAGGCATGATTGTCACGTCGATCGACAGTTGAGAAATCCTATCTCCGGGGCCCTCACTTTAGGGCTATCTTTCACCGTAAGGCTTCACTACTCGTTCGCTTGAGGGGTTCAGTTGTTAGTGGACTAGCGCTTCTCCTTGTCCCCTTTCTGCATTCGCGCATGACCTAAACTATACCTCTTCTAAGGCAGAAAGAAGGTCAACCTCAGGTAATCACACCTTTCTTTCTCGACGATCAAAGAGTAAAAACTAGCTTTCGAGCTAACCAACCATGGAGCTACCAGCCAACAAGCAAAACGAGTTCTCATTCACGGATAACTAAGCTTTGACAAGGGAGAGGGGGACCCTTCTCATACCCGCCCTTACAGGAGCCTAACGGAGAAAAGGCTATGCCCAGCAGTTATTCTGGAATAGGGGAAGACTGCGGTAAAAGGATGTCCGTCTGTTGATGGCTAGCTCGTACAAGCAAATCGGATTTGGACCTAGGTTTGTTGATGGATCTGGTCTTGTCGAACAGGTCCGGATTCGAGGTTCGAAGACAAAAGCCCACTAGCCGAGCTGAACTGGTTAGTGATGGAAGCAATTCCCACGAACTGAGAACAAAAGGATGTACTTGCCCCCTTCCCCAGCCATTACCGCTCATCCACCGCTTTAAATTAGATTATGAAATCCTGTCTTTATCTTTCCAGGCTGTCTTTTGCGTGCTATTCCTTACGCCCTGAGAAAGAACCTCCACTTTTGTCCATACTAGCTCTCCTCTATGTCCCGGTCAAGCGTAGTCTAATAGAACTTGACTAAAATTAGAGGAAATAAGTATGATCTAGAAGAGGGTTCCACAGGCGATGAGGAGTAATTGATGGGGCCATTGCTTCTATGTGTATTCCCCATAAAAGGAGTCCCCTTAGGCGACGGCAAGAATATATTAATATCCCTCATCAAAAGGGCAAGCGCAAAGCATAAGACTGCCCGCTCCACCACGTGCATAAACTAATTATCTCATGATAGGCCAAAGCGTGACCTTTTTTCTGGCCAAACTCTGTGACAGGGATATAAAAAAAAAGGGTGTAATCCCGATTTATCTAAAGCGCTACGTCTTTTCCCGGCCATCATGCATCGCTCCAACCTCCTATTGCCACAGCCTTCAATCAAATAAAAGCAAAAAATATCAATAGGGACCTTACTGCCGTTCCCAGCTTAAGCGTCTACACCTCCCAACAAAGTGAATGTACCTTATGGAACCTCCGATAGGGACTTGGATGAGGCCCGCCGACCTTCTCCACCTGCTCTGTAGATGGAACCTTCGTAGAGCTACCACTTTCGATAATCATTTTGGTCTTTTTGCCCCGGCCAAGGGCACACCACATTCGAAAGAGATCCCTCAGACTCCAGTCCTACCCCGTCTTCTTAGGATTAAGGTTGCAGCACAGTTTAATGTAGAAGTGGCTATGATTGCAAAGAGCAGACGATATTTATTATAATAAGATCAGAGTTGAGAGCACTGCTAGAAAGATAAAGATGGCGATAAGAGATTCGTTCTGTCTTTCTTCACTTCTGATCTTTATCTATGATATTAACTTTAACTTGAAGACGAGTCTTATTCATAACTATAAAGCAGATCGAAAGAAGCATAGGTAGACTTCACACTAACCCAATCCAGATAAACAACTTTTATCGGAACCCAGCTTCTCTTTTTTAGCGAATAAAGATTGAAGTCGCTCTTAGACTATATTTTAAATCTTTATAATTTATCATATGAAAGAAGGAGAAAGGGGGCTGCTACTGCAACCAAGCAATTGGTGCAGACGCTCTACGATGCAATCAGACAATGAGAGAGCGGACTCTCTTTCTCTAAGGGACACTTCCTCATTTTATTCCACCCCCTTTCGTCGGTTCCAGTAATAATGAATGGGAGGGGGAGTACCATGTAGTTAGGAAGATGATCGATGCCTAAAGCATGTCTACTTAAGATCTCTATCCTTTCTGGTGATAAAGATATCCCAAGAAGAGAGACCTGACGGCGCGCCTTTACTAGAAGAGAAGGAAAGAAGACACTTACTAGAAATCTATTCCACCGGAAGACTACCGCTGGATTTATCTCTGTCCACATCCATGACTCACCCACCTTTCCATCCCCCCTCAAAGATCCACCCGATCGATGAAGACTTGAACCGAACTCGCAGTGATCAAATCTACTTTGGAGAGTAAATCCTCAGGGCAAGCCAAAGGAAGGACGGGAGAAGCAGGGCTCTAAGACAGGCTGAAGGCAGAGAAGGATAGACGAGACAAGGAAGCAAAGGAGAAAAGAAAGATCGGAATAGAAGAGAGGTAACGGTTGAACGAACGGTAGACCCAACTCTGTATACTTAGCCGGAAGCAGGGCATTCCACCGATTCCACTTAGGGATATAGCCTTTCCCGTATCTATTTTTACCTTATCTGCAAATTTATATCCGGTAGACTTGGTAAGGTCAAAGGGCCCCGACTTATTTGATTTCCAGAATTAGAGTTCGACCGCTGCTGCCCCTTTTTTGTTTTGGGGGGATCAAGTTCCTTGCCAACTATCGACCCCGATCTCTTTTCATTTCTTTATTTTGGGTATTACTAGCCTAGCCTTCGTCAATCACACTAAAGAGCAGAGCACCCAACTATGGCAAGGCCCCCTTAAGGCTTAGGTTAGTCAATCCGGCCCGAGACCAGATCGACTAAAGGCGTTGACAAAACCGCCGTAGGGTAGGAATGGAGACCTTTCAATAGAGCGGAGGCGAACTGATCAACGAGAAAGAGGCCCTACTCACTACAAACGAATACACCACAAGATCGAACTGCACTCATGCCTCTCCCGCATTTGCCCTAGACAGATCATTGCCCACCTACGTAGTTCTTCTATCAATCATGTACGTAGGTAGGGTCCTCCATTCTGATTGGTATATCATGAAAAAAGAAAGCAAGCCATTTGCACCAGGCGCACTGCGCTTTCCCTTGCCTAGATGTTCGCCTTTCTAAGTCAAGTAATGGTGACCCGCCGAAGACTGGAGCCTCATAACATGTTGACGAAGACCCCCGAACTGAGGGTTCGATCAGTAGAGGGGACGACTTTACCTCCCCGGATTCGGAATCGGAATCGGAAGAAGAATAGCCCCGCTCTCTAGCCGCCCTTCCTTAACAAGTCCCGTTGATCATATAACTGGGAGGGAACGTGTCACATTAGAGGTGAACGATCAGAGATGTCCGATAATTACCACGATTCGGAATCGGAAGAGGCTGGTCCCTCTTTAATTTTAGTAGACTAAGCTATGAATATGAATGAAGAAATGAATGAATGCCGGGCTCTTTCTTTCACTGCTAACCCCAATACAAAAAGTTTCTTAATGCTGATCTTTTCTCTTTCGTCGAGCCCCTGCGGTTGCTTGTGGTCCTCCTTTGAGTGTGGGTTCCATTGGATGAATCTCTCAAGTCAAGGTTCACGTACATAGCAGCAAGAATAGAATGGTGCAGCGCCTATTTATCGTTCTCGCTCGGGAGCCAAAACGAAGACGCCTGCTACCTACTGTACTGGACCTTCGACCAGGCATTCTACCCTTGTCGAATCGGAACCAACCACCCCCTATGTGCCGATCGCTTGCGCTCGAACAGTTGAGCGGCCGCCGGCCAGCAACTTCCGTACCGTACACAGATATATATTCATTATTCGTACCTGGTCCAACTTCACAACCCTTCGCGGGTTGGTCAGAAGTCAGTCTTGTTTGGTAATACTCTATTGGACAAAGCAAAGAAAATAGAGTGCTCGACCGGAACAACGGCCAACAAAGACCGTAATTACATAGATAACAGCTCCTCCCTTTCTCCGTCTTTAATTAAGGCTTTCAGGCGAACCGTATGGCGGACGGAAAGACGACCTCACCTTCTCGTAGATGGTGCCTTCATTGTCTATCCAAAGGAGAGCAACTTGAGTATCCCCCGTTGACCTTCTTTTGTAGATAGAATCTTCAATGAGTGGAAAGAAGCAACCTTACTAAACTAAGAAAGGTGCGCTTCTTGAGTAAGGCCGTTTTCTTGCAGGAGTGCTAACGCGCGCCCTTATTCTATTCTTCGCTTGCTCCGCAGTACGAGCCTCATACAGAGCTGCGCCCCTTTAATAGGATGAGGAGAAGAGGGGCCGCCCTCTTTTCTGCACCAATCTTTATATACAACTATATTTATATCTTTTTTGGGGTGTATAGCTCAGTTGGTAGAGCATTGGGCTTTTAACCTAATGGTCGCAGGTTCAAGTCCTGCTATACCCAAACAAACCTACCTTACACAATACCTATTCATAAATAAGGATGCGTAGTAACGTTCAAAGATCACTCTTTGGCCTTTAGACTCGCTTCAGCGACTTCGCCCTTTAAGTGAGAAGGGGGTGAGGTAAGGAGTAGTATAAGAGTGGCTCGGTCATCAATAGGCCTCTCCTTATTTTATTCATTCTATAGGGCGGGGCTGCAGACCAACAATCCAGCAAAAGGGCGAAAAAGTAGACCTAACATTTCTTTTCTTACCCTTTAGAGTAATGATAGTCGTTCTCTAGCAACTATGCTAGAGGGGATGCAAGATGTACTTTATACTGGGTAGTGGCACAAGCAATACAAAGACAACGGGCTGGTGCAAGTCACAACAGCAAACAGCTACTGATAATGCTTGAAAATTCCCATAAAATGCCGTTCTACAGCAGTATGTCAGAAGGTAAGAGCCGTCCTGAGACCTCTCATGGCTGTAGTCATAGTATAATAATCACATCCTCTATCCCACCATGGTAGTTACTACAGAAGAGAACAATCAAAGATAACATATAACTCTTCTGCGAAATCAAAAAGGTAGGAACTCGGTAAGGAAAAGGAACGCTAAGCCTATGTATTACACTAAAATTCCTAGTAAAAATGATTTATCTCAAAAGTAGCAGTAGTTTCTTTTTGTTGTTCAGTAGGGAACTGGAATTCAAGATAGGGGGCTTTAGCCGAAACTGGTCTGTAAACTGGTAGTTCTTGTTCGCAAGCAAGCGGGCGGGTTTTGAGTTGGATGTTCGAGCAAGCGTAGCCCACAGCATTCTACGATCTTCGTTCTATTCTACGGCTACTTGAAATCGTTAGGTTAGTCTCGGGTATCCTGTTAACGTTACTGCGCTTTAACGACACCGTAGTGGCGGTTTTAAAGATAGGATAGCGAGGCCGCTAAGGGCTTTCTGCTATTAGAGGATTTATTTTTTACTGTAAACACACCACCCTGTTGGCTGTAGTTTTCGCTTGTATATATTAGAAATTAACAATAAAAAAACTATATTTTTAAAAGAATTCAAATCAGAAATTTTTCTACACAAAACAGGGAAAGAGAATGAACTAGAACAAAGCGGATTTTATTCATTCCACAGCACTACAAGCATTTTTTTACATGGGAGTACATCCAATGGGAAGCTTACACACACATAGACCAGCCACACAACTAAACACAACATTACAAAGTCAACTAATAACATATTAAGTGAACAAAAGAAATATAACAACATGAAAGATAACAAATAAAGCCATGCATTAAAACACACTACTTTGCGTCGACGGACTACTTATTTAAATCTTCTAGAAAGAGTCGACGGACTCTTCTATTCTAGTTCCCCCCGTTGTTTCCATTTCCCCTGCGGTTGCTTATGGCCCCCTCCATTCGGATAAGGAGAGATTGCTGTTCTTGAAGGAGGGCCTCTTTCCGGTCTTCAAGAGCTCGGATGCGGTCCCGTATCCTTTGCATCACTCTTCCTACGACCTCAGGATCGAGAGCTGGCGGATGCTCCCATAACAGACCGAGCGAATTCTCCTGTTGGAGCTTTTCGGTTTCCGCTGTTTGTATTTCTTCTTGAATTTCAGCAAGTCTTCCAACGATATCCATGGCTAAAGCTCTTTCTTGCCGACTTTAAAGTCCCCGTCTCCCTTTGCTTTGCCAAATAGAGACTGAAAGAAGCTTATATTTATAGGCGTTAGAGGCCCTTAACCCTTTATTATTATTAGTCATAATTATTGTCTTGGTTCCCTAACAAGGATCATTTTAACCCTGGCTTTTCATAAATAAATATTGAACCACATCCACTAGATTTTAGTGCGCTGAATAATTATCCCCGTACGGATTTGAGTACGAAAGGCCCACCCCAAGGATAAAGAGCGAATAGTCCTTTCTTTTTCGCGGGTATCGCCACGCGGCTTAATCCCGATCACTCCCTCAGGAATAGGAGGCAATAATAGAACGCACATCAGAGAAGAGAGTACTCCCAAAGGCCCTCCGCGTCCTTTCTTAATAGATGGAGCAATCTTCACTCGACAGCTCGAAAGCGGATCAGTACAAACCCACGTGATCCGTATTCGCTTACGTACCAGGCGTGCTTCGTCGTACCCTGACTACTCCTCTTTCACTGGCTTCTTTGTACCCAGCTACATGATGGAACTCCCCTCGGCCAATCGTCACTCGACAGCAGCTCCGTCCTAGCGTAGGCGATTGAAGTAAAGCCTCTGCCTCTATCGCTTGATTGAAAGGATCAGACACTTTACCCTACTTTTTACAGCAGAACGAAAGAATTTTTTTATTTAAATAAGTAAGGTAAACTTGCTTTTGCCGATTGCACTCGGATAGCGGCCTGGGCCGTCCTGGAATGGGAATAAAATGAATTAGAAAGCCCATCCTGGACTTCGATGGGCTTTGTTTGGAAAGCCAGGAAAAGGTGGCATTTCCGGGCCAGGGCTTAAAATAGATCTGAATGCTAACATTGGGCTAACCTTCACTCCACTCCAATAGAATGGGGAAAGGAGCAGAAGCATCTTTTGTCTGCCATCCCTCAGGGCAAATCCGTGTTCATCACAGGCTCCGCTGGGACTGGTCAAACCCTATTGCTTGAGGAAATTATCAAATTACTGAAAAAATAATATAGCCAATATGTGGTTTTGTCATACAATAAGATCAAATTTCTTTGGACTCGTTAGGTTTGGCCCATTACCTTGAGTGAGGCCGAACGTGTACACCTTTTGTTATGAAGATGTGATCTTATCCACCGATGGGTCTTGTTATAAGCCCACTATCCTACCTAATAGGGTCCCTGTGTCGGGTTAAGGCTCCACCTCATGTTGGCTTAAGGGCTTAGTGGAACCCAATTTCTTTGTAGTCTAGGGCTTTTTGTTGCTTGGCGGCATTGGGCTTAGTGCTCCGATTGCGCCTTAGGACTAGGACTGATAGGTAAATGCCCCTTACTCTTTTCAAATAGGGTTAGACATGTTAGAGTAAGGGTAACCCGGCCTTTCCGCTCTTACTCTTCTGTAAAGGACTGAAGCTCACCATTAACCAACTGAAAAGCCGCTTTAATGCGGAGTTACAGTTGGCATTTTCCTCGTGCGAGTCTAGCTCTTACAGGTCTAGGATTCCCGTTATCACTAGTCTGAGTGCCCCGAGATCCAGTGCCCTTAACGTAAGATGTCTAGTCTCCTAGTGCCCTTTGGGAGGAGTATCTCCAGCTTTTTCTTTTAAGTCATATCTCACACGAAATCTCCTGCAGAGTAAAGGAAAAAAAAGAGCATTATATATATTTATCTTTAAGGATTAACTAAGCAAGAGGAGTACTGCTTCACTTCACTCACAGGGACATCATCGAGAAGAAGAAGCCAAGATTACTCTCGAATAAAGAAGGAAAGAGGGTTGTGACTCAAATGGATCGTTGAAAGACTGAGTCTAGGACTTGGTTGGTTGAAGACTTGCGGGGGAAATAAGTATGCGGGAGGAAGTAGCTCCAGATAATGAGCAGTAGGAGGAAAGTCAAGTATTGGAGCAAGAGGACTCGCATGTATGTGCCCATAGCAAGATGCCCTTAACACTTAAACATTCCCAAAATTTAATTCATGCACTAATCCACTTAAAATTCTTTGATCGCACATTTATTAGAGAACTTTACACTTCGATTCGGAAGAAGAAGGACCCACAGACATTCCTTATTGTTCATCTCCCCTTAAGTTAAAAGTGGAGTGAAATAGCAGGATTTTTTTTCATTGGATAGTGGTGCTACATGGAGTTAGGAAAAATAGGATCTCATGTGGAAGAAGGGCTAGACTGATAGAAGATCTAAAGAAGACAGGATTGGCACTTGACCTAATAAGCTATAAATTCCTTACTCTAAGAAGTAAGCAAGCCAGCCAGTGAATTGATCCGAGGGTTAATAGACTAAGGTAGTGAAGTCATCCTAGCTCAATGCTTTCCTATCTGGTCCTGGAGCCTTAAAAAAGACCTTACGGAACGGATAAATGGAATCCTCTGAGATAGGTTGAGAAAGCGCGTTAATATCCTGTTGAGAAGTAATCTTGCCACTCAGATAAGGATATAAAAAGAATATGAGGAATGATGGTCAGTAGTAAAGAGGTTCTGGTAATCTCGCATGATGTGGCCGCCAACCAAGGATATTGGTGTGATTAAATATCCAATTTCCTACAGAGTCCTTAAGGGCTAAAATCCTATTAAGCCTTCCGCCTTTAAGGGTGGATAACTGAAATGAATAGTCTTGGACTCCCCTTTTAAAATCCAACTGATACGGGATTTAAGAAAGAAAAAGTCCTCTTCCCCCAGAGTTCAATGTCTTAGGCGGAATCGCATATGAGGCAAGGTTTTTATCCCTTTACTTCTTTTTTTCCCACCAATCCGCCGGTTCCGGGACATAGTCAATCAAGGAGGGGAACTGCAAGTAAAAAGTAAGCACAGATGTCATTCTCTTCCTCTTATCTAGCTAACCCTATTTTCTTTTGAAAGGCTTTCCGGTTGTGTTGTCCTCCCTCCGGTCGCCTCATGTTGGTAATCCTTTTGGATTGCTTCTATTAGTTCTAACTATTAATGCTGCCACGTGTGCATACAACATTGAATTTAAAATCTTTCGCTTCCCTTTAGCAGTCTTTTACTTCTTTCCTAGGGAGCAAGAAAAGGGCAGCCATTAGCTTAGCTCATCCGTAGCTTGCCCCCAATTAGTAAGTAAGCCTTCGGTTACCGTGGTTCTTTTCTTCGCCATAATATCAGTTCAATGTCAATGACGGTGAAGGAAAGCAAGAAAGGAGAGTCTACTGACTTGGGTACAAAAGACGGGGATGAATCTATAGAAATTCCTTAATTTAAGGAGACGGGATCTGCTACTTATTTAGTTACGAGACCACCAGCCGAATCCAAGACACCTGTAGCTGGAACAACTTCTTCTTCCCCCGTTCGTGCCAAGGAAAGCAGCCTATCTCTTAAAATAATAAGATAACGAGACCATTCACAGCTTCATAAGAGCTAGCGACAAGAGCTATAAGCTTAACCACACTGGGACCTGGAGGTTATAGAAACTCTAGCTAATGCTAAGCTAATGTGATTCACATGAAAGAAGATAAAATCATTCTAGCTTTCTTCCCAAAGGCCTTAAAGAGCTTACTCGTAGGACAATACAGACGGGACTTTTTAGCACAACCTTTAAAGCTTTCTTCTAAGGACTAATACCATCTGTTGACCTGGGTCTTTCACTTCTTTATATAAAAAGATCATCCGATTCGGAATCGGAATCGGAAGAAGTGAAAGGGAATGTTATCAGATACTGATTCCATACCAGTTGATTCAATGGTGGGTTTTCTTTATGGATATAGTCTCTGGGGATTCCATAGTCAGCGGAAGGCAACCTTAGCCTTTACTTCACTCCTTGCTAAAAGTTTCTTTACTTTGATTCCACCTTGTGTTATATAAAGGGTATGTTCCAAAACTAGAAGAGTACTACTAGTAAAGTAGGAATACGGTAAGCTTGCCTTTTCCGATTTGTTCTGTCAATTTTTTAAGTAGATGAATGAGGGACGGTCCCCTTCTTTACTTTTTCGTAATACGCTTTAGCTCTATTTCCCGAGAACTAAAGATTGGCATTTCGGGCTGGATCTTCAAGTCTTCACTAGAGTCTGCCAGCTCGTAAACTCGCTCCTCTGTACTCCTACTATACTATAGGAGACTGAGACCAAGGGGTCCAACTCTTCGATAGTAAATGAGTAGGAAGCAAGGGGGATTCTTTCACATCAACTAAGGCAGCACCCGACCGAGGCAGAATAAGTGATAGCATCTACAGCAGGCATTTACGCTACATCAAAAGATGAAGCGATAGCGGGCGGACTCTGAGGCACTAGAGACTTTTAAGATTTAAGATATAGTCTCCGCAAC